AGAGGAGAAGACGACGAGATGAGATTGTAGGAGAGAAGATGAGTCAAGACAGATCGACGAGAGGAGAGAGATGATGACTGAGACGACGAGGTAAGTCCAATACCATAAGATATCAGAGAGACGATAGATGAGAGAATGACAGAGACGAATGAGAAATGAGATTGGCGCGAGAAGGCCGGAGAGAAGCAGAGAGAGCGAGAACGTGAGAGAGGAGAGAGTCTAGATGAGAGAGTACAGAGAGAGAGAGAATTAGAATAAAGAGAGATAAAGGGGGCAGAGGGAGAGGAGGGAGTATTAGAGAGAGAGAGATCGGAGTGTGAGATGAGATGAGATCGAGAATAGAAAAAGAGAGAAAGAGTGGCAGGGAGAAGGGAGGATGGTGTATGAGAAGATTAAGAGAGAGACTTTTTGTCGACCACCATTATATGCCATCTCTACAGTACATATACCTTATATTGCTTCTTCTCATATACCCATATTATAGTGATACTACATCTTTTTGAAAATTCCCATCGCATTAGAGACACAGTATCCCTGTAACTTGTAAGTACATGTAATAACACAGACCGTTATATCACCAAGTTTCCCATGTTTCTAACATCGTATAATAGAGACAAGCTTTGTCCCTCCACGTGCACAGACACTTATATATCTCCATCTTACACAAGTATACAGACACGCACCACACGCCACGCACGACTCCGCCCGCCGCTCCCCCCCCCGCACGCATGCACCTCACTGCTTCACACATGCCACTTATCTACAGCTAAGCAAGGCCAGCAGCTCCACGCTACACTGCCCGAACATGCGTCCCCCCGGAGGTACGCGGGCCCCGGTGCTCCGCTCACCCATGGCATGAAACTTCTTCGTCGGCCACTGATAGGTTAGCACCCCAGTCCACCAGTTAGCGCCGAGTTCAGCTGGCGCGGCGGAGGGACTGGCCGTTGAATTGGGTCGCCATTGGTTAGCTCTTTGCTCCTCATCACCTCGTAGGAAATCTCTTGGTTTGAGATAGATGATGAGATAGGAGAGGATAGATTCGAAGACGAGAGGGGGATATAAAGAGAGAGAGAGAGAGAGAGAGGGGGGGGAGGAGAGAAAGATGATGCAGAGAGAGGATGGAGATGAGAGAGAGAGAGAGAGAGGGGAGTCAAAGAGAGATTATTGAAGGAGAAAGAGAGAGATGAGAGAGAGAGAGAGAGTGAGAGAGTGGATTGATGAGAGGGAGATGAGAGATGGGGGGGAGGAGAGGAGAGAAAGGATGTGTCAGCGTTCGCATTATTACATCTGTTTTGACATTGGTTATTGACATTGATCAGTGTATATCTAACACTTAACCAGAGCTAGCGAGGTATCTATACATCAGTATGAATCTAACACTGACCCAGAGCTAGCCAGTATTAATCTGCTACATCTTAACACTCTACCCAGAGCTAGCCAGGTATCTGTGCATTCTAACACTCACCAGAGATAGCGCAGGTATCTGTGCATCTAACCACTCACCCAGAGATAAGCCACGGTATCGTTGCATCTAACACTCACCCAGAGCTAGCCAGGTATCTGTACATCTAACACTCACCCAGAGCTAGCCAGGTATCTGTACATCTAACACTCACCCCGAGCTAGCCAGGTATCTGTACATATAACACTCACCCAGAGCTAGCCAGGTATCTGTACATTAGTATGAATCCAACATTCACCAAGAGATAGCCAGGTATATCTGTATGTCTAACACTAGTGTTGTCAATCGGTTGTAATTTCGTAATCGATCATCGGTTGGACCCAAGTAACCGATGATCGGTTACAATCGGTTACTCGGGGTGTTGAACCCCTGCGTGTGCGTAACGTCGTGTGCATGTACGTGTGTGCATGTATGTGCTTGTTTAGCCAGCGTATAAAATCCCTAGTGTGTCTTAGGCTTTAGCCCCTCAACAGGAAGTAACTGCGGCGAATGCCGGGTGATTCCCGAACTAAAATAGCGATGATATCTCTGATTCTCATCAGTTTTCCAAATTTTCTTGTTCAAGTTTTACATTTATTTCAATTATTTTTTTTTTTTTTCTCAATGAAATCGATTATGGATTTTGATAACCAAGCGCTTGGTTCGAGCCACTGTTCAACCGATGATCGAGTATAATCGATGATCGTGACATCACTATCTAACACTCACCCAGAGCTAGCCAGGTACAGGTACGTACATCAGTGTATATATATAACACTCACCTGGAGCCAACCAGGTATCTAGTTGCGGTTCCTTCCACGCCTGCATGCTCGTCCCGTTGCTGCCGCCGCCGCCGCTGCCGCCCGGGGAATAGTCCGACCCTCTCTCCACGCGCCGCCCGCTCGGTCCCGCCACGATGCCACTGCCGTAGGGGGAGCCGCTGCTAGGGCTGCCTGGTAGAGGGCATCAGTCCTGCAACTACACGTGAAAGGAGGGGAAACTATGGGTGCGTTGAAAGATAGCGCCACTGCTAGGGCTGTGCAGTAGAGGGCACCAGTGCTACGCCTGTGTAGAGAGAGAGAGCGAGACAGAAAGTGAGAAAGCGAAAGAGAGAGGGATGGAGAGAGAGTGGGGAGAAAGAGAAAAAGAGAGTGAGAGAGAAAGAGAGAAATAGAGCAAGAGGGAGAGAGAGGGAGAGAAAGGGGGAGAGATAGAGAGAGATAGATAGAGAGAGAGAAGGAGATGGCGAGAGGGAGAGAGAGAGAGAGAGAGAGAGAGAGAGAGAGAGAGAGAGAGAGAGAGAGAGAGAGAGAGAGAGAGAG